ATTTGCGGCAGCATTATTGGTGGCGTAGAATGAAGAAGGATATCGTAGCATGCGTGTCTCGTTGTTTGAATTGTCAGCAGGTTACGTATGAGCATCAGAGGCCTGGTGGTGTATTCCAGAGGATTGAGCTTCCCAAGTGGAAGTGGGAGCGGATTACTATGGATTTTGTTATAGGACTTCCGCTGACTCGGAAGAAGTTCGATGCAATATGGGTGATTGTTGATAGGCTGACCAAGTCAGCGCATTTCATTCCTGTGACGGTCTCCTATTCATCCGAGAGATTAGCTGAGATTTATATCCGGGAGATTGTTCGCCTTCATGGTGTGCCGACATCTATCATTTCGGACCGGGTTACGCAGTTTACCTCACGCTTCTGGAGAGCAGTTCAGCGAGAGTTGGGCACACGGGTTGAGTTGATCACAACAATTCATCCCCAGACGGACGGTCAGTCCGAGCGGACCATTCAGATTCTAGAGGATATGCTTTGAGCTTGTGTTATTGACTTTGGAGGTTCGTGGGATCAGTTCTTGCCTTTAGCGGAGTTTGCCTACAACAACAGCTACCAGTCGAGCATCCAGATGGCTCCTTATGAGGCTTTATATGGTAGGCGGTGTCGGTCTCCGGTTGGATGGTTTGAGCCCGGAGAGGCTCGGTTGTTGGGTATAGATTTAGTTCAAGAGGCCTTGGACAAGGTCAAGATCATTCAAGATAGGCTCCGTTCAGCTCAGTCTAGGCAAAAGAGTTATGCAGACCGCAAGGTTCGAGATGTGGCATTTATGGTTGGTGAGCGGGTATTGCTCCGAGTGTCGCCTATGAAAGGCGTGATGATATTTGGGAAGAAGGGCAAGCTTATCCAAAGGTTCATTGGTTCGTTTGAGATTCTTGATCGAGTGGGAGAGGTGGCTTATAGACTTGCATTGCCGCCTAGCTTATCAGCTGTACATCCAGTTTTTCATGTATCCATGCTTCGGAGGTATCACGGTGATCCAGCCCACGTGTTAGACTTCAGCACTGTCCAGTTGGACAAGGACTTGTCTTATGAGGAGGAGCCGGTAGCTATTCTAGACCGGCAGGTTCGTCAGTTGAGGTCCAAGAGTTTTCCTTCTGTTTGTGTTCAGTGGAGAGGTCAGCCTCCTGAGGCATCAACCTGGGAGTCCGAGTCCGATATGCGGAGCCGTTATCCTCATCTTTTCCCCGACTCAGGTACTTCTTTCTTCTGTCCGTTCGAGGACGAACAATTTGTTTTAGAGGTGGAGAATGTGACGACCCAAAGGGTCATCACTTGTTCCCTTACTCATTCTGTGCTTCCGAGGCCTTGAAAACCTCATTTGGGGTTGCCTCGATTTGCGTGCGCAGTCCGGGAGCGTAGCCGGAAAGCTTAAATATGAATTCTGTGAAAAAAATGCTAAATTTTGATATTAAATTGAATAAATTTGACTTCGATCAACATTTTGGGTAAACGGACCCGGACCTGTGATTTGACGGTCTCGGAGGGTCCGTATGAAAATATGGGACTTGGGCGTATGCCCGGAATCGAATTCCGAGGTTCCAAGCCCGAGAAATGAATTTTTGTGTGAAATTGTTTTCTAGAAATAATTAAGGAAATTGGAAATGAAATTTGATTAAAAGACTGTGGTATCAGGCCCGTATTTTGGTTTCGGTGCCCGGTACAAGTCTTATATATGGTTTAAGCGCTTTCTATAAAGTTTGGTTGAAATTGGACGTCGTTTGACGTGCTTCGGACATAAAACTCTAAATTTGAAAGTTTATGAAGTTTGAAGAAAAACTAGTGATTTTGATGTTTGATTCATTATTTTGATGTTACTTTGGCGATTTGATCGCACGGATAAGTCCGTAGGATGTTTTTGAGGTTGTGTGCATATTTGGTTTTTAGCCCCGAGGGCTCGGGTGAGTTTTGGATAGGTGTCGGAGTGCATTTTTGAACTTAGGAAAATCTGGCATTCCAGTTCTGCAATTTTCGCAATTGCGAAGCAGGCCTCGCAATTGCGAGCTCGCAAATGCGAGCCTGGCATCGCAATTGCGAGGAAGGGGGCACTGTGCTGGGTTCGCAAATGCGACCAAAAATCTCGCAAATGCGAGGTTGGACATTTTGCAAATGCGAAGTTTAGTGTCGCAAATGCGAAGACCCCTAAACTAGCCTGAGTCGCAAATGCGAATATTTTTCTCGCATTTCCCATACCTGCAGGGTTCGCAATTGCGAACCCAATTTCGCATTTCCCATATCCGCAGCCCAGCATATTTTATACTTAACTGATTTTTAACTTTATTTTTCACATTTTCTCAAATTCAAACACCCATAGGCGATTTTTCAAGAAATCTTTCTTCTCCAAATCAATTTTAAGTTAATTTCTACTCATTTCTTTCAATCATTAACATCATTTAACATGTCTTCCACTTAAAATCAATAATTTTCATGGGTGAAATTGGGGGTTATGGGTAGAACCTAGGTTTTCTAAAAAATTGAGGATTTGGACCTCAATTTGAGGTCCGATTTCAAAACAAATTACAAATTTGAGTTCGTGGGGGAATGGGTAACCGGGTTTTGGTTTGAATTTCGGGTTTTGACCACGCGGGCCCGGGGGCAATTTTGGAATTTTTGGGAACAACTTTGGGGAACTCATTTTTATGCATTTAAATTGATTCATTTAATGTTTATTAAAGTAATTAAGTAATTAGTGGCTAGATTCGAGCGGATTGGAGGTGGAATTACGGGGTAAAGCCATAGTTGAGGCTTGAGTTGAGTTCAAGGCATCGAGGTAAGTGTTTGGTTTAACCCTACCTTGAGGGAATAGGAGTTGAGTCTTATTTGTAACTTGCTAATTGTCGAGTACGATGTATAGGCATGGTGACGAGTATCTATACATTGGTGTCTAGCATGACCGTGAGTCCTTATTTTGCGAATAGTTTGGTTGTTGTTATGCCTTCCATGCTTAATTGAGGACTTCTATATGTTGTAAAGATTTTGTGAAAGAAATTGTGATCTTTGAACTTCGTGGAGCATTGGCTCATACAAGTTGTGAAGGTATATGAGATAAGTAACTCCTTGGAGCATTGGCTCAAGTGATAATGTGAACTATGAGATGAAAGTGAAAGAAAGAGAAGAGTTAATGATTTATTCCCTTGCCGGGACGTTGTTGGTTATTGATGTTGTACCCTTGCCGGGTTTTTAATTGTTTGTTTGTGTACCCTTGCCGGGACTTCCATTCTTGTTTTATTATTCCCTTGCCCTTGTTTGTGATTGTTGATTAGGTGAGGAAGAGTGTTAAAGCACGAAGGGTGATGCCGTGCATTGTTTGTTTCTTGTGAGGAAAGAGTGTAACGCACGAAGGGTGATGCCGTGCATTATTTGCTTATTGTGAGGAAAAGAGAGTAAAGCACGAAGGGTGATGCCGTGCCGCACGATGTGCCATTCCGTGCATATTCTATTGATTATATGTGAGGAATGAGAGTAAAAGCACGAAGGGTGATGCTGTGCACGTTCTTTTATATTATTGCTTGGTGAGGATGAGAGTAAAAGCACGAAGGGTGATGCCGTGCATTTGTTGATCTCTGTTCTTTATTGTTGTATGAGTTGTGCTTCTCCTTCGTGTTAGTCAATTTATATTTGAAACTGTTATCTCCCCACAGCATGCTTCCCCTCCCATATTGTTTACTTGTCTTGTATTTCGTTTCCGCTGTATGTATATAACTGCACAGGTTTATGTGGTGGTCCAGTCTAGCCTCGTTACTACTTCGCCGGGGTTAGGCTAGACACTTACCAGCACATGGGGTCGGTTGTGCTGATACTACACTGTGTGCTATTTTGCACAGATCCAGGTTTCGAGCAGCAGCAGCCATAGTGTGGGAGCAGGCTTCATTTCAGCGAGACCCGAGGTAGCCTTGCCGGCGTCCGCAGGCCCGGCGTCTCCTCTATCCTTTATTTTTATCTGTTATCTCATTGTATTCGAGACAAACAACTTATGTTCTCTTTCAGGCGTTTGTATGTAGTATTCTTAGTAGTTCGTGAGTACAGTGACACCAGTCTTTGGTAGAGGATTTTGTTGAACTTTCCGCATTCTATTCAGTTTTATAAAATGTTTAGACTTCCGCTTATTATTGAATTTCGTTGCTTTATTTTATTGTCGTAAATTGTTAAAAATGGATTAGCTTATTAATGGACAAGTAATTAAATTTGGCTTGCCTAGCTCTCATTAGTAGGCGCCATCACGACTCCCGAGGGTGGGAAATCCGGGTCGTGACAGATAAAAGGAAAACAATGCTCATAGAACTTGACATCTCTGGAGACAAAAACCTTCCTGTTGTCTATATCCAAAACCTTGTACCCCTTCTGATTGTGAGGGTAACCTAGAAACACACACCTCTTAGCTCTTGGTTCAAACTTCCCTCTATTTTGAGCTAGAGTTGAGACATAGCATAAGCATCCAAAGGATTTTAGACAGTCATACTTGGATGGCTTTTTAAACAGTACTTCATATGGTGTCTTCCCTTTTAGAACCCTTGAAGGAAATCTATTTATTAGATATGTGGTAGTCAATATACATTCTCCCCAATATTGAATTGGAACTCTTGATTGAAATAACAATCCCCTTGCAATTTCCAAAAGATGTCTATGTTTTCTCTCCACAACACCATTTTGTTGTGGAGTAGCTACACAAGATGTTTCATGCTGTATGCCCTGTGAATGCAGATATATAGATTCTTGTGTCCCCTTTCCCAATTCCAAAGCATTGTCAGATCTTAGCTTCTTCACCTTCTTGTTGAATTGTCTTTCCACCATAGTAAGAAAACACTTCAAAACTGAAAATGCATTGCTTTTAGTACTCAAGAGGAAGGTCCAGGTTGCTCTACTGAAATCATCAACTATGGTTAGGAAATACTTGTAGCCATTGTATGTACTAGTCTTAAAAGGTCCCCAAGTGTCTATATGAATGAGGTCAAATATGCTTGAAGATCTTATTTGACTAATTGAAAAAGGTAGCCTAGTTTGCCTGTACTTGAGGACATACATCACACACATAATCAAAAGTTGGAGGAAAATGGATGAAACTTAGATTTTTCATAGCTGTAAAAGGCAAATGCCCTAATCTGACATGCCATTTTCTTACATTAGATATAGCATTAGCAAACACAGGTGCTGAAAAAGGAACACTAGGGGAAAACAGACTGGAATTGCTTCCTTTAGGAATTGAAATTACATTTTGTTTGAATAAGATCCTAGACTCTAAACTACTAGGCTGGAGCAAGTATAGGCCATCCCTTACTTCACCAAAAGCTTGTCCCCTCCTTATTAAAGGGACCTGCAGCAGACATTTGTTGGAAGTCAGATTAATAGAACAACTGAATTGTCTACATAACTTATGGACTGATAATAAGTTATATTTGAAAGAAGGGACATATAGAACCCTTTCCAGAATCATATCTGGCTGAATGCTTACCCTTCCTATCTGTGTAACAAACAATTGAAATGAGTTAGGCAAACTTATGTGCAGAGGGGTAGGTAAAGGACAGAGTTCTAAGAAAGATTTTGAATCAAAACACATGTGCTCAGAGGCACCTGAGTCAATAATCCAGGTGTTAGTGTTAAAAACAGCTAGGCATGTTCCAGAGTATTTAAGAATGGTACCAGCTACTACATTAGCATTTATTTCTGTTCCTGGATTTCCTCCATTCCCAATCTGCACCTGCTTGATTATGTTCACTAGCTCAGAAACTTGTTCCTTGCTAAAAAAATGATTCTGAGTGCTTGAATTTCCTTCAGTGCATCCATTTGTTTGTCCATCTGTTTCTGTTGTTGGAACCAGTGCATTGACCTTCACTACTCCTTGAGATATGTTTGACTTGGTAAATTGAAAATCATCTGGAAACTCATTGAGCCTGTAGCAGTCTGCCCTGGTATGTCTTGTCCTCATGCAGTGAGAACAGGTAACATTTGGGTTATACCTAGTCTTCTTTCCCTTAAATTTTTGTTGTGTGTTCCCTTGCTTCTGCTGTGGATTCCAAGTTCTTTGGATCTGATTGTTTCTCTGTGGGTTTTTATTCTGTGTTCCCACCATGAATGATACAACATCAGTGGTGTAAGAGGGATTCACGTATATTTCCCTTTGACTCTCATCCTGCAACAGTAGAGAATAGGATTGGTCAATGCCTGGGGGAGGACTCATCATGAGTATGTTTCCTCTTGCTTGAGCATAAAAATCATTCAATCCCATAAGGAATTGAATAACTCTTTGATCCTCCATGATCTTTCCATCACATGTGCAATCACAGGTGCATCCCAGGTGTGAGTTGAGAGAATCCAACTCATCCCAAAGCCTTTTTAGAGTTGTGAAATAACCTGCTATGCTGCTACTTCCTTGAGCTAACTTTAAGATCTCCTTCTGCAGGTGATAGAGCTTTGCTCCACTCGATTGGCCAAACCTGTGTTCAAGGCTACCCCACAGATCCTTTGCAGTTCTAGAATTAATTACACTGTCTCCTATCTCCTTGGTGAGGGAATTTAACAACCAAGAGGTCACCATGTCGTTGCACCTGCTCCACTGTGAGTGCTCTGCAGCATTTAAAGCTGGTTCAACACAAGTTCCATTGATAAAACCAAGCTTGTTCTTGGCTGAAATAGCAATTAGCACAGATATTCTCCATCCTGGAAAGCCTCTTCCATCAAATGGTGAGCTAACTAAAGACATCCCTGGAGCATTAGAGGAGTGTAGATAGTATGGGTGATTGGAATCAAGAGTGCTTCCACTGCAAGTGGATCCAGTGACAGTGGGAGTAGCTGTAGCTTCTGTTCCTGTCATGGCTGAAAAACAGGTGTGAAGAAGAAGGAGAAGAATAAAAGAAGAAGAATGATGGTTGAATTATGAGAGAAAATGATGGATCGAGCTACTGATGCTCTGATACCATGAAAGAAAGATAGAGTGATTTGTGGAAATTTTCTCTGATTGTATTCACTGTACACAGCTCTATTTATACAAGTATTTCTATATCTAAGATAAATAAAAATGAAAATATATGAAAGAATATTCCTATACACTTGTACTATCCTTATTGCTTGTATATATAACCTCCTAACAGATTTTATTCTCCTACATGTGCTCGTCATGTGTAGGAAGCTTCTAATATTTACCAACTCAGCAAAAAATAGACGGCTGAGATTTATTCTTCATCAATCATCTTGTGTTGTGTGATGCTGACACGTGTAGGGATTAAAATGAACATAAAATTGAAGACATTACATAGTAATGTCCGAAGTCCCAATCTCCCAATCGAACCCAGGCTGCTTCCATAGAACATCGACTTCTTCACCTTTCTTCTTCTTCTTCATCCCTCTTCTGTAAATCATCTTTAATCTGTGAATTGATGAGCATATTATCCTCAACAATTATTAGGAGCTGATTCCTTCCTAATTAGGCGCGCTACAAATCTGAAACTAAATATTCTTCCAAATATTCCTATTTAGGCGCGCTACAATTATGGAAGTAAATATTCTTCCAGATATTTTCCACCATTGACAGCCATTAAAAAGCTTGAAAGCTTTGAATTCAAATTTGGGTTTTCAAAAATCATTATTTGTTTGGATTGGGTGTTGTTGAAAATAATCGGAAATATGGTTTGGAGTTTATATCTCAATTTTGAGGGATTTTGGAGAAGATTAGACTTGGTTTTGACTGAATTTCAGATTGAAACTCGAAGAAGAAGAAGAAGAAGAAGAAGAAGAAGAAGAAGAAGAAGAAGAAGAAGAAGAAGAAGAAGAAGACATATTGCAGAAAATGTAGATAAATTGTAGATTATTTGTATTCTGATTGTAGATGCTTTATTTTCTGTTTTCACAAATAAAAAACGGCTAAAACTTCTACAAATCTTCTGAAAAAATACAATTATGTCAAAAATCACAATTATGCTACAATTGAATGAGAATAGGGATATAAAAATTCAATGTACCCAGTTTGTAGACAAATTATAGATTATTTGTATTCTAATAGTAGATGCTTTATTTTCTGTTTTGACAAATAAAAAACGACTAAAACTTCTAAAAATCTTCTCCAAAAAACGCAATTATGTCGAAAATCCCAATTAAACTACAATCGAATGGGAATTGAGATATTAAAATTCAATATACCCAGTTTGTAGATATTTTGCAGATGAATTGTAGATTATTTGTATTCTGATTGTAGATGCATTATTTTCTGTTTTCACAAATCAAAAACGACTAAAACTTCTACAAATCATTGTATTTTGTCGTGATCTTCGATGAACAGATCATGACAAAAAAATTGGTGTCCGCTATATATGAATCATCACTGTTACTGCCGCTTAATTTACGCTCCGGTCTAGTGAGCACATCCCAACCTATGCAAACCAGGGTGAAAACAGATCTAAAATCCATGGTTTTGAGGTGATTGTCACATTGAGCAAAGATGTGCAGATATAGTGCTTTTTGTGCAGTTCAATCAATATGTAATCTGCACTGATTACGTCCTTTTTTTATGGATGTTCTAAATTTGGATCAATTACATTACATGTTAAACTTGTTATAGTGTAAACACTCCAAATTTTCTTCCTTATATGTATGTCTAATCGTGATTTGGTCATCTATTTCTTATATGGCAGTAAATCAAAGTTTCTGTTAAATATCCCTATAATTACCTTCGCCTGGCTGAACCATGTTGATTTCATAAAGCATTTGTTTCATAGCTCCACATATATCTTCGATTTCCTCAGCTGTGAACACCTCATCGTCCTCTTCTTTGCTATACTTGGGCTTGACAAAAGTATCATAGAGATGTGGCAATGGTTGTGGCAGAACCCATCCTTCTTTCTTTCTTTCCTCGGCCCATTTCTCATCATCTGGGGTAGGGTGGAAGCCTATCCCGAAAAACTTTTCTGCTGTAGGTAGAGTTACTGGCTCGGATATTCCTTGTAAAGCTTTTCCTAACCCTTTTCCTGGTTTGAAACCGTGCCTAATCATTTCTTTAGCCACCATGATTGAAGCATTAGACAGGAAAGGCTGAGGACAAGGATTTCCCTCCTCATGCTGATCTGCCACCACAATTTCAAAGGCTTGATAAACAATATGCTCACTTCCTTCCCTCGCCTCCAAGCATGGGATAGATGGGTCACGATAAATGGACTGCTCATCTTCTCCGTGGACCACAATTTCCTGATCTTCATATTCGAATTTTACCATTTGGTGGNTCAAAGTTCCATTCAATGTACATTTTTCTCTCAAATTAAATATTTAAACTATTGTATGTACATTAATTTATATAGTTATTTTCTTAAATTTATCCTAATGCCATTAAAGTGTTGTCCACCTTTTTACTATAATATCTTTAATTTCATGTTAATTTTTTTAATATATAGGGTTTTGATATAAACTAAAGTTTTTTTAATTAAGTTTTTATAATCTATGTATACTCTATACTATTTTAAAAGCACGAAGACCGGTAGCGAAATATCATTTACCATTTTTACCCTTAATAAGTATAATTTTTATTGTATATAATTGTAATTGTAAATATAAATGATTTAAAAAACTTAAAATGGCCGAATTTTAGTGCAAAAGTAGCTCGGTCGGTTTTCCGCAATTAAAGTCACTTCTGCCTTGGGATTTTTTTATTATCAAAATTGATCGGTAATTCATGTCACTTTAGTTTTAGTATTCTTTTATCATAATTGTCGTTGAATTTTTGTTACTATATTTTGCCAACATTGCGGGTTATTCAATTGAAGAATATATATTCTAAAGATTTAAGGATGTGCAATAGTTTTTATAGCGTAAAAAGCCCCAAATTAGAAGGAATAAGGAGAATACAATTTTAAAAATATATATTCTAAATATTTACGGATGTGCAATGATTTTTATAGTGTAAAAAGCCACTATAATGTCACTTTAAGTTTAGGGTTTTTTTCATTAGAACCACACAGCAATTAATGTCATTTATGGTTTAGTGTTCTTTTACCAAAATTGTCATAAGATACAGAGCGATTTTTGAATTTCTAGAATTTTAAAACCAAAATTATTTAAAATAAGAAAGAGTTGAACACTTCTATAAAAAAATTACTATTTCACATTCTTTATCATAAACTCTTGATAGTATCTGTATACGGGTACAATCGAGCCCACTGCATGACTCGACTTCTCGGTGAGCCAAACGAAGCAGGAACGTGACCGTAGTGTATCTAAGTCAAAGCAAAGTGCCCCTCGTATCGGGGCTCGGGCAAAACACCTACCCTCGAGGATATTGGCTCCGGAGAGCATTACTAAACAGCTGCACACGACTAATAAAGGGTCGTGATGTCCGTGCTTGACCAGATATTACGGCGTGAATCTCGACCTGCATCGGCGGAAAGTCATTGATTAGCAAAACAGAAGATTTTTTACCTTTTTTAGAATTATACTTAGGGTAAAATTTTCCTACTATACAAAGGGAAGCCTGCCTATTCATTAGGCACTTTATTTAACACGCACATCAAGGCAATACACTGTTATTTTTCTTACTTATGTTCATCAATTTCTTTATTACTGTGAGTCCGGGACAGAAGGCAGGCACTTCATTAAGCTATTATCGAGTCCCGGATCACTCCCTCTGATTTGGCAATTTATTGCGTCATTTATTAATATAATCTAACGCATTAATCGTTTGTATTGAAATTAATCCATGTCATACCTCCTTTTTCTACTACACCCCCGCAAGGGTATAAAGGAGTTTTTCCAATTAAAGGACAATCGGAATGGGATTTATTATTAAGATTTCAGAGTCGCCACTTGGGAGATTAATGGTGTCCCAAGTCACCGGTTGAATCCCGAACCGAGAAAATTATGACTCTGTTAACAGTCCGTGAACCAGAAATCCGAGTAAGGAATTCTGTTAACTCGGGAGAAGGTGTTAGGCATTTCCGGATTCCGTGGTTTTAGCACAGTCGCTCAACTGTTGTATTTGCTTTTATCTGATTTTAAAACATGTTCTAACCTATGTGCCTTTTTATTAATAAGCCGCTTTGTTTTATTATTTTTCATTTTTAAAGAATTGCAACGTCGTGAAAATGCTTCTCGAACCACGTCGCACCAGTGCACCCGTGATTGTTAACTCATTTCGACTCCGTTGAGATTTGGATTTGGGTCGCATAAATGTGCACCCGTAATTACGAAGGTAAGATTATTAAAACGCGCCTAAAGTGACTAACGAGTTATTATCTTTAAGGAAAATCGTGAAATTCGCTAAACGGTTCACCCGAGTTCTAAGTATTTTTTATAGCATTTATTGAGGGCCCCGCCATTTGTATTTGGCTTGACAAGGCTCGTCTCATTTTTATTATTAAAAGCCAATCCTAAAGCAAACTAGAATTTTCTATTTATTTGTCTCTAAAGGCTAATTGATTCACAAATATAAATTCGGGTCTCGAATTCAAGTCCGAATTCAAGCAAAAGGGAAGACCCTTCTAGCTTGAACCCGCTACCTAATTCGAAATCCAATTTCAGTATTTTAATTAATTACCCAGACTCCTAATTGATTAACATTGTTTGGAAACCATTATATTTCAACCAGTTCAGGCCCATTAAAAAAAAGGACAGGCCAATTGTAGATTCTGGCCCAGGTCCAAACGCATACATGATTGAAATGAGACCTGGGCCGTCTGTTAAGGTCCAGAGACTCTACTATTGAAATGGGCTGTTTAGCCCTACCCGTTAAAATCAAATTCCAACCCGTTCAGCATAAGAAATTTCAACTGAAATTAAAATCAAATTCCTGCCTATTCACGTTAATTACTGAACATTGATCACTGAAAATAAAAT